CCCCCCCCCCCCACACACACACACACACACACACTTCCCATCCCGCCCCCTTACTATAGGACGTAGTTTTGACGCTTAGTTCCAACTATAATATGTATATTCTTTTGCGCTTGAAATTTCCATTGCAAATACCAAAAAAATAAATGTGTTTTTATCGTTATATAGGCTGTCAGTACATGGGTATAACAGACGCATATGAGGGTTACATGAACACGGATTTACCGACATTGAATTTCATGGAAACCGGTTCTAAGAAAATACGTGGCCAGACAATACATAAGGGTATAGCGGCCAATTCAATAACCTGTGAAATTAAAAACAATACAAGTTTCCTCAACAGTCAAGGGGAATGGGTTGCGCTACCACTTAATATCAGTGATATATTACGTATTTCTGTGGAAGATGGTTATGGCAAAATCGAACGTTACCTACTTTTAGATGTAAGAACTAGTTACCATCACAATGTTACTTTCAACTTTTTGTAATTTGTTTCGTCAGCAGATTTTAATCATTATATTGACAGTGAGTTCAACTAAATTAGTCTAAAGCACTGTTACCGATCCCAAAAATGATTTTGGTATTGGTGATATTTGGGTCATTCTTCAGTAGAAGAAATATGATATATCCCCATAGTAAAAAAACTCATGTTGGTCAACTTTTTTAATTTTTACCGTTGCGATATAAAGATTTTAATCTATTTTTTTTCTATAGTGGGAAAAACATGCAGACGACTTTTATTTTGGGCTTTTAATAAAGTTACATGTTTCTTGTCGCACGAATGCCGATCATCCTTATAGTGGCTGCTTCGTATTTAAAAGTAAAGGACATAAAAGTCTTGGTAAGTGAATATTCTGCTTTGGAAGAAATGTTCCCTTATTGTTACGTTTATTTTACACTGCAGAGATTCACTTGAAGGGAAAATATACCTTGTCCGTGATCTCAAGCTCAGTAATAATTTATGAGTAAATTAGGCAACCATATTTTTTTATTTTGCTCACATGATAATACTGGATGCCTGGTGAAGTATATTGATCCAGTCCTAGGACTGGGTCAAAATTAATTCACCTCACTTTCAGTAGTGACTTATTCATATGAGATGTCATTTCAAATCCTTCAATAGACAATTCCCATTATAGACTAATTTTAAAACTAGGCAAGGAAACTCAAATAAATCACCACAGCTAGAAAGAGCATACTAAAATTAGTAAAATTACAAAGTTTAGTTGCGAAATGTTGTAAAATAAGGAAAATATAGCCTTGCAAAGTTCGCAAATTTTGTATACTTTTGTATTGCTTGCGGAAATTCCTACCACATTCCTACCACATTTAGGCCGAAAATGGTCGCACGCAATACAAAAGTATACAAAATTTGCAAACTTTGCAAGGCTATATTTTCCACATTTTACAACATTTCGCAACCAAATTTTGTATTTTTACTAATTTTAGTATGCTCTTTCTAGCTGTGGTCTAGTTGCATCTCCTTGCCTAGTTTTAAAATTAGTCTATAATGGGAATTGTGTATTCGGAATGGACTAGATTTCAAGTCCTCGCTTTGCGCGGACTTGAAATCTAGTCCAGTCCTCATAGCAACCTGTTTCACAGGGTCTCACCTCCACCACGCCCCCCAAACTGCAGGGGGTGAGCGGAGGTGAGACACTGGGAACGAGGTTGTCCTCGTAGTTGGAATCCAAGCGTACGATATGTCAATGGCAGTGTATACTGCGCGTTATGATAGATTATGTGCTAGTGGTCCCGTATTTGTCCAGTGTTACTGTAGGACACAACTGTAACTAAACTGATTATACTATTTATACCCGAGGGTTCAATCAGTTCTGAACTGTTTTCCATGGAGATCCAGTAAGGTTGATTTCTGATTTGGCCCCCTGTTACTATACATGAACGTTTGTGTTGTCCTTTGGCGTTGGGGGCAATCTTTTCTGGTGTTTCTACGAGAGAAACACCTAGGGTCAAAGTGGACGAAAAATTCAGGATCCGAGAAAATTAATTATTTTTTCCAGTTCAGGTGGAAGGACCCGTTACATTGAGTGAACGATCCCGAATTTATTGCGAAACCAAAATGTTTTAGCACAAGAAGGAAGTATTTCATCTCGGTTTTCAACAGTACTTGAGAACCTTAAATCCGGAGAAAAAAAGTAGACATTTTATCCGGAAATATATGAGTCCGAGACAATTCGACGTGTGAACGGTTAATGAATCTGCAACCTTTCATTATGACCGTAGAACTACTTATGAACTGTCGTGGGAATCAATCCCAGGTCGCTTTGGGCTCAGTGTAACAAAACACCCTAGCCTGGTATAGCGCAGCTAATGACCATGCATCATAACCAATACAATTGGTTAAGTTAACCCAATAAAGCTGTCCTGAAATTCATAAGATAATTCAGTTATCACTTTTCCAGATACATCTTCGTTAATGACGTCCACCCTTGCAACGATAAAAATATATTCAACAAAAGAAAAGAGTGGTCCATCTTTAAAACCTACTCAGCCAGAGGTACTCTTTCTATTTCGTTTCTAACTTGTAGCGGTTTTAAAGTGCGTGCACTTTTGTTATCTGGCCTTAAGGGCCGTTAATAGACAACTTGCATGTTAGACAAATTTTTTATCTAGCCGATCTAGGCACAAAAAAAGTAAATTCTCGTTAAGAACTTATTAAAATTAGTAAAAGTGCAAAATTTCGTTGCAAAATGTTGTAAAGCTTGGAAAATATAGCCTTGCAAAGTTTGCATATTTTCAGTATATTTGTATTACTTGCGGAAATTGTTACCATTTT